GAGGCACTGGGACTGGACCTGATTTTCTACTATTTTTTCAGCAGTCATTAAGTGAATCACATGAATACTGGCAAAAAAAAATCCACAGGAAGTCAGCAAAAAGTGGTCATGTGACTGCAGCAACCAGTCATAAATGCAATTCAATTACCAAGTGCCCAAATTGCAGTCATGTGACTGCAGGGAGGGTAAGTTTTATGATAGCTGGAACTGTTTTCTAGGCTGCAAAGCAACCTTTCCAAGGTCATTGTAACTCATTAAATAACCAGTCATAAGTGGAGGATACTGTTATCTGCACTTTGGCATAGGGTTAGGGTTGCAGTTGTAGGATAAAGCTTCTAGTATACAGTGGATGATAAAATTGTACATTTCCTTTTTTTTGTAGAGAATAATCCCTTTTCCTTTGCTCTTCATAACATATCGAGCTTGTCATTTGCTGATCTGGCTTCAAGCAATTCTGGGGATTTTGCGTTTGGTTCCAAAGGTGATATACATTTTGTTTATCAATCATCAATGTGAGAAAAGTAGCTGGAGTTTTTAATTTTAAAAATTGATAGGAAAAGTGAACTGATGTCATATAAAAGCTTTAATATCCTTATTTTCTCATCTAAACAGAAAAAAACTTTAAGTGGGCAAATACAGGAGCGGTTGTATTTGGGGTACACGCAGCCACTAAAGGAGATCATGATGATGATGGAAGTGATGAAGAAGTGATACATAGTGACGATATTCATTTTGAACCAATAGTCTCGCTACCAGAGGTAAGTTTTCTAATCAGAATCTAAGAAGGAATATATCTGTTTAGTCAGTTTCCTGGCATAAGGTACAATATTGCTCCATTTATTTGTCAACTATTTATTTTCATTTGTCAGTATTAATCTTGCATGAAATAAATGAAAAGATTTAAGAATGAAGAATAGGCACTTAGCCTATTGTGTTATTGGACTAAAATATCAGAATTCTGAAAGACTAACATGGTTAAATGATGTATATTGCTTTTTTTAAAAAAAAAACTAGACATGCTTCTGTGTGTGGCATGTGTGTATATGCAGGGTTAACTGTGATTGCTCATTGTAAACTATAAATATTATTCAAACTGAAATATGCCATCTTCTCCCAAGTGGAATCTTGGGAGAAGATGGCATGTTTTGAAGGAGTTAAGGGGTTTTCTTTAGTGTTTTCCTGTTTGGCTAAAGAAACCGATACTGATTGTGTCTCATTCAGCCTTAAACTGATTTCCCCATTGCAATGTTGGAATTTTATCTGCTTATTCTCTGTGTATCATATGTTAGTGTGTTTTAATCTGCTTCTACTTTAATCTTTCGGTTAGTTTATATGCAGTGTCAGCTCTCTTACGTTTGTGTCACATACAATGATGATAAACTATACAATTCCTCATATAGTACTTCTACTTTGTCTTAATTGGACAAACTTGTAGATAACATTTAATTGTCAGCTTTCTAAAATGTCTTGTCATTTAGAACTCCATTAATTAGCCCGCAGGCCTTATCAGTCTATCCTTCCAATTAAACATTGCTGCAGTGGTGTGATTCAACACGATTATTTATTCCTGCTAGGTTGAAGTAAAATCTGGAGAAGAAGATGAAGACATTATCTTCAAAGAAAGGGCAAAACTATACAGATGGGACAGGGAAGTCAATCAGTGGAAAGAACGTGGTGTTGGAGAAATAAAGATTCTCTTCCATACGCAAAAGAAATGTTACCGAATTTTAATGAGAAGGGATCAAGTTCTCAAAGTCTGTGCAAACCATATAATCACAAAAACAATAGATTTAAAACCCTTGAATTCTTCAAACAATGCCATGGTTTGGACTGCAACAGATTATGCTGGTGAGTATTTTTGTTGAGATGTCCCATAGTTTCACTATCCTTTCTACTATTTTCATAGCAAGATCCCTGCTATTATAATACTTGAATTTCCATTTCAGATGGTGAAGCTAAGGTAGAACAGCTTGCAGTTAGATTTAAAACCCAAGAATTGGCTGATATCTTCAAGACGAGATTTAAAGAGTGTCAACTGATTTTGTCAGAACAGCAGAAGGAACACATTTCTTTTGCAGCAAAATTTTCAAAGGAATCTAACCCTATAGTATATCTTGAAATTTCTGTTGATGATGAACCTCTGGGGCATGTAACAATAGAATTGTTTTCCAATGTTGTTCCTCGAACCGCTGAGAACTTCAGGGCATTGTGCACAGGAGAAAAAGGATTTGGATTCCAAAATTCTAGATTTCACAGAATAATTCCAGATTTTGTCTGTCAGGTAAGTTAAAATAATTCAGAGACTGATAAAAGGATTTTACTTTTCAGTTTTATCGTCCACTTGTTGCTGCATAATTTTCTGAGTTCCTCAGGAAATTGTGACTCAGAAAAAAATTAGTTACTGTTTCAAATTCATACGTGCATTTTTTGAATTGGAATCAATTTAGATCTAATACAAAAAAGCTTATCAATACAGAAAATATAATCACAAATGAGAAAAGCAGAAAGAAAAATTCTTAACAGTGGTATAATAGAATTTGTTTGAATTAGTAATAATGAGTAACCTTCCACCATTGATTATTTATTTTATTTTTTCAAATTTATATGGCTTCCCTTCTCACCTTAGTGACTCTTAGGCGCTCCACTAAAAAAGGAAAATAAATATAACGGAAATTATAGTTGCATTTAGGCTTTTTGCAATTGTGTTTGAACAGTATTGAATTTTCAGTCTAAAAGGTGACCTAAGCTTTTAGCTTTGGGTTCATAAATGTAAAAGCAAAACATACTTTATTATTTGAATGCTGCCAATTATATGAATAGACTTAATATCCTTCATTTTTTTAATCAATTGGAATCCTATATTCCATTGTCACTGAGAGTAGGGATTTATTTCTGTTTAAGGATGCATTATTATTGGTAAACATGTTTTAGTTGTATTTGAGATGTTTCCACCTATTACATATTTTACTAAATTTTCTATTTCTTTCATTCCAGGGAGGTGACATCACTAAGCATGATGGCACAGGAGGACAGTCCATTTATGGAAATTCATTTGAAGATGAAAATTTTGAAATAAAACACACTGGTCCTGGCCTATTGTCAATGGCAAATCAGGGCAGAGATACCAACACTTCTCAGTTCTTTATTACTCTCAAAAAGGCAGAACAGTTGGACTTTAAACATGTTGTCTTTGGGTTTGTAAAGGATGGGATGGATATAGTGAAAAAAATAGAATCTTTTGGCTCTCCCAAAGGAATAGTGTCAAAAAGAATTGTGATTACAGATTGTGGGCAAATATAAAATGATTCTGCTGACATATTCAGAGATTTAAAAAATCTTCAGCAGATTTAGACAAGATTATGTTCAGGGTTTTTTGTTTGTTTAAAAAATAAACAACTTCTGATGTATAAATGTAAAGTTACAGCTCATAGCTGAGTACTTTTTTAAATGTGTTGCAATTGCCTGCTTGTTGTGAAATAAACGTTCAAACACTAGTCTCCTTCAGGTGTACTTTTGTTTCCTCCTGATTTTGTATTAAATAATTTAAAATGAAATCCCAGGTGTCTGGAGTTCTGTGTTTCTGAATGCTTCTTGGATCAATTGAATTCAAATAATATTCCAAGATAATTGATATTTCTATATTACATATATTTGTATTAAAGAATGATTTCCTACAGCAAACAAAATGCTGCAAAAGATTGAGCTGCTCAAGTGGTGATATTTAGTTGCCTTATTTTGATATTTAATGTCTTAAAAAACAGGCTACTGCCTGAAATTATAGGTGGTGTGTATATGCTTTTGCACTGGAAGTAATAGCAGTTGCAAGTTGCCAATAAGAACTTTAGTGCTTAAAGCAAAATCGTATCAAACCAAAAGGACCTTATCCTCTTATCAGTTCTGTCTCTTATCAGTTATAATTGCTGGTGACAACATCTGGTAGAACTTTGAGTTTGAAGGCTTGATTGGTACTTGGAGTGCCAGGCAATTCAAGGGTTATGTCAATGCTGCTAACATCAGGTATTATTGCTTTGACAACAGATGGAAATGCATTTATTTTTCTCTCGCTTTTAGAGCTGATTGATACTGGGAGGGGGGATGTGGATGAGAGTCCAGTTAGTCATAACAATTTCATGTCATGGAAATTCAAGGTTAATGAGCCCAGAGCTGATAACGATTTGGGGGGCTGGAGAGCTGTGAGCAGTAGAGAGAGCCCTAGTTTCAAGCTAATTGGGGAATGTGATTTATGACCATTAGTTGGAGGAGGGAATTGTGCTTTGCTACTTTGTGCCAAGGGGAGGGGAATTCAGTTTTTGGCTTCAATTATGTAGTGCCGATAACGCTTCTTGAATAAAAGATTCTTTAAGGTAAACAATGCCTTGAAATTATTTTGAAGAGTTTCATCTCTCGGAACCATGACAGGTTATTGATTAATACAGGAGGAAAGATAATGGAAGATGATGACAAATCATTTCCATACTGTTGTGATATCTCGGTTGGGTCTAAAGACTGGATCAATATCCCAAATTCAAAATTGCTTGTTGTGCTCATAATTAAATTTGATAAGATGTGGAGAAAAGGTACCATTGCAAGGACATGAATCTCTATAAATATCTTTGAGTGGGATGGCCATCGTGGTTCAGAATTTAGTACCACCGCAGTTTTGTGAAGCATTGGAAAAGCAGCCCAGATCAGCCCTTTCAGTAGCCGAAACAGAACGCCAGCGGCCTGGACGCGGCTTAGCCTGTTGCCCTGGAAACAAGGTCGCATCGGACAAGATGGGGGCGGAGCAGTCCCTTCACGCAAGCGCATTGCACTTTATCTGCCTCTCCTTCCTCCATCTCCCCCGCTCCCCTCGTGGCGGTTATAAAAGGCGGGGGAGGGCAGCGGCAGGAGTTGCTTGGTTGGCTGGTTTTTCTTCCATGGCGGCTTCCTCAGACCTGAGCAGTTCGGTTGAGCGTTGGAGGAGACGTTATCTGAGTAGAGAGGTGGGGATACGCGAGGGAAGTTTGAATACGTGTAGCTCCATCCTCACGAGATCCGGACGTGGAATGGAGTTTGATAGAAGCGTGGTTATTCCTAAATGTTGGTTTTGCCACGGCCTCGAAGTACTTAGAGTTGGGAAGATAACGGGCACGAGTTCAAAGGGACTAATTTTTCTTATGGGTTCCTGCACGGTACAAAAGAAATCAGCTTCGAAGCATTATCCAAATTTTGTTCGGGGAAAGGTAATTTCTAGCGGATTCGTGCTCCTTATTTCGAGGCTTGAACTGTTGGGGATTGACATCAAATCTTCCTATTAACTGGTTCTTGATCAGATTTAGGAACATTGCTTGAAAAGGATTTTAGGGTATCAGAGACTTAAACGCCAGAGCAAATGAACAATAAAAATCATGTGTATGTAAGAAGCAAACACCAGATGATGCTCCTAATTCTGGTATACACTTCCTTTTTCAGGGTTATCTTTTGGATGTAACACAAGCCAAAAGTAAAAGTAGAAGAGCCCTGATAGCCGCAGGTAAGACATTTAAAAAGAGTGTAGTTAACAAGTAAAAGTACAGTAGAGAGCTTTTATTAAAATTTAGTTGTATCTTTTCATCAAAAGCAGTAAGGATTTGTTAACAACAACTTTGTCTGCACAACACACTAAGTTTACTGAGCACATCCCACTGAATTTACCTAATTGCCTAACTTCAATATATGAATTGAAAACTGATCATGTTCCTATCAGTGACAACCTTCCTGCAAGTGTTTCTGCTCTATCATTTCAAATGTATGAAAACTTTCTTCAAACTCTGAAGTTATGACTGAAGATGGTATATAAGTTTAAACACAGAAACAGGTCTTTCGGTTTACATATTGATAGAATAATTAAGATGTCAGTGAGAAGTGCCTCTAGATCTGGGCCTTGACCATAAAGACCTCTGTGCAGATACATAAAGAAATATTTCTATGGAAAAATGGAATCTAGTCAAGGGAATATTAACTGGGGGGGGGGGTGTAGAGTGTTTTTGAATGGCCTTATAAAGAGGGCATCAGGTTTGAATCCTAGTGGTGCATGTTCTCTGAAGGTTAAAAAAAACCCTGAGTGACAGCATAATTGATCTTTGCTCACTGGTGATACCAGTGTTGAAATTTTTGCTTGAAAGTGGGTAATCCTATGTAACAGGATAACATATTTCTTTAGGCAAGGCTGGTTTGTTGATCATTTAATAATTATGCAACTCTAGACATGAAAATAAAAACTAGCTGCCCCCTCCATATCTTAAAATTTCAATATCAAACAGTAGAGCAGTGGTTCTCAACCTTTCTAATGCCGCGACCCCATAATATAGTTCCCCATGTTGTGGTGACCCCCAACCCCTTATACATCACCGGGTGCCAGCGGCGTGGCCAAAGAAAAGGGGAAAAAATGGCGGACAGCCTTGTTTGGCGACCCCCGTGAAATGGTCATTCGACCCCAAATGGGGTCCCGACCCACAGGTTGAGAACCACTGCAGTAGAAAATAATATTCTGACATTTTTGAAGAACATTATGTGAAAACTTAAATTAGATATGGCAGGATTTGTACTGACCTAAAATGATTTATTATAACAGTTTTGTTGCAGCAAATGCTAGCACTCCCTTAAACCTAGTTGATCTGATTAGACTGGTTAGAATTTGGGAGGGAAACAACCGGGAAATTCTAAAGCTAGATTAGAAAGTAAATAGCTCAGAAGAAGACAGTGGCCAACCACTTCCATATTTATTGTCAAGAAAACGGATAGGCACATCCATGTAATCACCTAAACTTGAGCCTACCTCAGGAGGGACTTTGCATGTCACATTTTTATAAAACCAAATTCTGTTTAGAAAAAATATTTTAATCAAATATTATTACAACCAAAGACCAGTCAAATAAAATGCTTAATGATATAGAGCAATCATATAATGCAGTCAGTTGCTTTATAGAAAATACATAAGCACCATCAAGAATTTAGGGAGGACATATTTAGCCACAATAAGAGAAAGGCCATATTGGTTGGAAACATGCAAAAGAGGCCTTCATCCTGCAGTAGATAGACAATGACTAAAATGATGAAAAGATATCTTTTCACACCCCATTTTACTGTTTACTTAGGAAGTACCTCACCTTCCCCAAAATATCTGGGATGATATTGGGGGGGGGGAGATATTTTACTTGGCTATCTTGCAAAGATAGATAAGAAACAGGCTTTTAACCAGTAGTGATCTCCCATGGATGGAGTAGCATTTTGGTAAGATGGAACATCCGAACATGGTGTCTCTCAGTTCTACTCTGGAAGATTAAGGAAGGGTAGACAATTTCCTTTAAATCAAAGAAATTGCAATATGCACAGTTGAGGTATATGTCTTCATTTAATAGCATTTTATCTTTATTTGTTTGCTGTATTACAGTTCAAAACATTCCATAATTAATTCAGTTATGCTCTTCTGTGATTAATTAATGATGGTTCTAACTATAATTCAGTAAAGTTTCCTCACAGGAGATAACTCACTTGATGATACAGTTGAATCTATACTGATAAATTCCTCACAATCAAAGCTTCTATACTGCAGAGGAAAGCATAATAAAAGATTTTTGGATTCCTCAAAAACTTTGAAAAACTTGGCTTGGTAAGAAATCTCTTTACTCTTTGAAACATACCTCCTTTTATAATGCATAACCTATAAGGTCATTTAATAATTCAGTTCAATAACTTCCTATGAAGTACTAAATTTTTCGGTGATTCTAGCATTGTCTTATAATGTATGTACTTCACCGTGATAATTGTGTTTGTTAGGCCAGATGACGAGTTGGATTCTTTGTATGATTCAAACCAGCTTCATATACAGCCAGAACCAATTGAAGATTTTCTTGGAAATGGTGAAATCCAAAGTGAAGGCATATATTCAGAAACAGGTATTCAGTTACTTATTTCTAGCACAACCTGAGCAAAATAATATCTTCACATCTGAAATTATGCAAAATGTATCATGTACTTGATCCTGCTACATTGTTTTAGCCTTTTAATTGCAGCATTGGTGTCACTCTATGCAAGATGAACTGCATTCTAAGTTGTTCCCTTGTGCCCTCTTTAATTCACATTTGCATTTCATTCATGGAGACTCCATTTTTCACCATATTAAGGTTTCCAGGATTTAGTTATGACAAATTGTTGCTATTCCATCAAGGAGAAAATATCTGCTCTTAATTCCAGACAAGAGATAGAGCAATGTTTCTCAACCTTGACAATTTTAAGGCATGTGGACTTCAACTTCCAGAATTCCACAGCCAGCATTGCTGGCTGTGGAATTCTGGGAGTTGAAGTCCACATTGCCTTAAAATTGTCAAGGTTGAGAAACACTGAGATAGAGTATCTTGTGTTCTAAATTGACAGATTTCTTCACTAAGTTTGTGTTTTGCAGAATAGCAAAACACTGATTTGTTGTACTAACTATATAGCTCATTTTAATTACCTTTCTAAACAAAACAATCATACAAGTTATTTAGTTGATCATGTCCAGAACTTTTAACTTTAGTCACTCTTGTCAGAATGGAGGAAAAAATAAGTCTTTTTTTCCATTCTGAGAAAGTTATAAGAGCAAGTGGAAATCATTCTTGATATTTTCAGGGTTGGATTCTTGTTTATTTTTTAACAGCAATTTTGAGTACTTTTAAAGCTGTGTCAAGAATGGGTTGTATTCTAAGTAAAAGGATATAGCAGCTTTAAAAGGTGGTGTAACTGCCATGGGCATACTAAATCATGCACAATTTCATTACACATACTGTATTTGCAGCCAGTTAAAAAAAAATTCACTAAAATTTCACAATTTCACCCAGAACACAATCTTGAGAGATTTCAGGTGACAACCTGAGATTTCAGAGATGAGATTGCTATTGTTATTTGGCACACGCATAAGTGGAGAGAAGATTTGACATTTCTAAGGAATTCTACATTAATCAGATGCATATATATCAAACACTCTGGTTAAGAAATCAAGGAGATCCACAAAAGTGCCCCAGTTGCTTTGGGATGAAGGGAAAAAATATAAATTTCAGCACCTATAGGATTTTCTTTCCTTGGTGAAATCTGGCATGTTCAGTTATTTAATTTTGCTGTACTTACATTGTTTTGCTATTGTTAACTGTTTTAATTTGTATTCTGTTAGTAATTTTTTATGTTAAGGTACCTTGCAGGAAGCTTTGCTAAAAAGCAGAATCTATAAAATAAATAATTGGGCAACATTTTGGTTCCTATATATTCATGGCTAAGCTTTTAGATTTAATTATGCTGTTTTAATTCTTTTGAACTATCTCCAAATGTTAGATTTCCCTGTTTACAGAGTAGGTTAATAATGATTCATAATGTGAACTGACAGGTACAACCCTGCCTTCTATGTCATCATCTAGAAAAGGGGCTAGTCACATAACCAGCATACAGTCTTTCCATAATGAAAAAAATATTTTGTAATGGCTTTTATAAAATAGAGGAACATAATGCTGATAATGCTGCTTCCATTTTCATCTATTAGATATTACTCTGCCATCCACTTTAAGAGTGGCTGCTTATTGTGATTATAATAATGATGGTGATGCAGTAAGAGATAGTGTGAGCATTTCTGGAACCCAGGAATTGAATGGGGAAAGCATGGTAACACCTCAGTTCAATCAAATTTACCATGAATTATCTATCATCCATCAGAAGCTACAGGTAAAATATTAATAATGGTTCAAGTATTGGTTCGTTTTCTTTTTCTTTCCAATATCAGCAGATACTGCTATATATTGCTGTTGGTTCTTTTGTCTTATGGTGCAGCAAGAAAAATTAAGTCAGCAAGAGTATGCTTTGAAACTTCAAAAGAGAGAATGCTTCATAGCTGAACGGGAAGTCCAGCTTTATAGGCATGAAGCTGCTTTGACCAAGATAAAAGGGGTTGAAGAGGAAGTTCATACAAAATTTCAAATTATGAAGGAGGTATCCCTACTTACAAAATTCTTGTTAAATTTGAGAAAATTATTCTAACAAACACATAGGCTGTATTTATACCATAGTGTATTGTGAATTCATAGATTTATCTTTCAGATAGACATAAGAGAAAGTGTCCTTAGACATCAGCATTGCCCAGGCAGTTATGAAAGCAGTGCAGCTGGGGATTTGGGCCCCACTATAATATATCAGCTGCCTGTTCCTAGAGTAAAGACATCCTTTTCCTGGGTAATTTACAGAAAACATTAAATATAGGGCATCAATATGGAAGTGGATTGAAAAATAAACCTCTGGCTAATCAGAGGATATAGAGGTACTAAATAAGATGTTATGGGGAGAGAAAATGAAAGACTTCCCTGTTAGCAAGATTAGGATTGATGGTAAAGCTTATACAGCTAGGGTAGTTTTATGTACTCTCATGTGTACCTAGAGAGTGTGATATACCTAACATGCATGCATAAAAAATTCATTGATTATTTTAACATAACATAACTATGAAGTTTTGTTTTGTTTGTTTTATTTGTTTTTTTCTTCCCCCCCCCCCCCCAGTGGTCTATTAGCCAGCTTTTCTGCCTTACAGCAGGGAGAACTGTATTTCAGAATGTTGACAGAAAGGTTACTCAAAGAAAATTAAGTTTCCTCTTCCTTTAGAATGTTTATCTTTTTATTTTTTGATTTTGAGGCTATTGGATTTTTATTTGAGAAAGCGCTGGATGGTACAATTATTTATTTCCTTATATATTACATTTCTATCATGTCTGTCTTATATGCTTATATGATTTACAATGTTTTTTTTTTAAACCGTAGTTAATCCTATTTTAAAAGTTCTTATTTTGGTATGTAGCAACATGAAGCTGAAATAAAGCAGTTATCTGATGCCTTGAAAGAAAAAACGAAGGAGAACAAAAGGCTGAAGACATCATTTGAAACACTAAAGGAGCTGAATGACACCTTAAAAAAGCAGGCAATTAACAGTTTTAACAGAATCATTAATCTGGCATTAATAAATGCTATAAATAGAAGATTATTGTTTTTAATATCAAGTATTAATATGTGACAATGAAGACAGTGGCGAATAACTACAGATTATGCTGTTTTAAGAATATAGTTGTCAGGAAGATCAATGTATTTTAACTCTAATACATAATGGTATCTTTTAAAAAATTAGTGTTTGAATTACTGTAACTTAATAGTCTTCATTATTTAAGCTCTTCTGTCTGAAATTTAAAGTTTTCTAATTATCATAATCTTACAGTTTAATATATTTTAGCAATGGGCAAAATGCTCATGTTTTCATTGCAGATTGGAGACATCTGCAGTAGTTGAAAAGGACAAAACACATCACAGGCAGCTTTAACCAATTATGGCTACTTATTAGATGTTTTCAAGTATATAAGTAGCTTTCAAAGCACTTTAGGAAAGGTGTAATCAACATGGACAGTCGAGCCTAGCCAAGGGCCCAAGATTTCTTACCAGAGTTTCCAACAAGTATTCTGACTTCCCCATGCCGTACCTTAAACTAACTCCTGTGGCACAAGGTCACACACTCCCCTCCCCTCAGGCACCCTTGAAGATCAAAATAGGAAGTCTCCCTACTTGGAGCAGCAGTGACTTTGACATGCGGAGACAACACCTTAGAGGTGTTCACGCTACTGTCATCCTGCCACTACTACATAAATACTTTGAGTGCGGAGGACTATTTTATCCCATTCCATTGTTTTCAGATACTAACTTTGCAATAGCAGACAACCATTGCCAGATTTTGTTCTGTGCACTCAAAATTTGTCAGATGATTAACTCTGGGTTGTATCTGGGGCTCAGCATTATGAATTACATTCAGGCTGTACCTGGTCTGCCATATTGGGGTGCTCTGTCACCTAATGTATGGTCTTTTATGTGTTAACATTTAATGCTTCCTTGTGTTCTCTTAATGTTTTCACCTCTCCTTCCATTCACTTTTTATACCTTTTATACCCTCTGCCTGATATATTTTAATTTAGACAATCCATATTTTTTATACTTTCTACATTTTTGCTCTTTAAAACTTCTTTTAGATTTTTTACTATTTATATTGTTATATCTTTTATGTCTCATACATTTGTGTGTGTTTTTTCACTTTTGTTTAATTTTTTAAAATGTTTATTATGTGCAATATGTCCCCTTATGTTAGTCTTTGACTATAATAAAGATTAATTTGATTTATTGTGGCAATATAATGTTGGAAATGTGAAAATATATGTGAAATAGTCTTTAACTACAGTTCTGAAGAGTAAAATCCTTGATAGTTTCAGTAAAACATACCATTAGATAAATGTGCTTTGAATATATTTAGGATTGAAATCAGAATTTCTTTTTTTTTTTTTTTTTTTTTTTTTTTTTTTTTTTTTTTTTTTTTTATTAAAAGTTTTATAAATTTTACAAAAAAAAACAAGAACAATACAGAACAAAAAACAACATATACAAAAGAAAAAAAAATTAAACAATACATATAAAAAAAACCCCCACCCCACACCCCTCCCAAAAACCCTCCCTTCCCCCCCCCTGAGCTTCCCAGAGCAGAATATAGGCTTAAGAAATAATAATAATAAAAAAAAAAAAAAAAATAAAAAAATAAAAATTAAATTAAAAACTTTATATTTATATATATAAAAAAGATATCTATAATATATATAAAAATAAAACTTATGAAAAAGCTATATAATATTTTTGTATACCCAATCTAAATTGTATAAATTTTATCCATTTGTCCCAGATAGCAAAAAACTTCTCTTGCGTTTGTTGCTTTAAGAAAGCCGAAATCTTTGCCATTTCTGCCAGATAAGCTACTTTAAAAAACCATTCCTGCAATGTAGGCAAAGATTCCTTCTTCCAATATTGTCCAATTAACAGCCTCGCGGCTGTGATCAAGTTTAACATCAATACAACCTCCTTTGTATCACAATCTGTAACAATACCTAACAAAAATAATTGCGGAGTAAATTTTACCCTCCTTCTAAAAATTCTCTGGATATTCCACCATATTTTGATCCAAAATGCTTTTATCTCTCTACATGACCACCAAATATGATAATAGGAAGCCTCCTTATAACCACATCTCCAACATTTAGGTTGCACGTCAGGGTACATGTAAGACATTTTTTGTGGATCAAGGTGCCATCTATAAAACATTTTATAAAAATTCTCCCTTAGATTCTGTGCTTGAGTAAATTTGACATTTCTCACCCAAATAGTTTCCCAGGTGTCCAATGAAACTGGCTCACCAAAGTTCTGCGCCCATCTAATCATACAATCTTTAATTAGTTCCGTTTCTGAGTCCAATTCAACTAAAACCCCATAAATTCTCTTAATGTGGGTTTGTCTTTGATCCCTCAGTTGCTTAATAAGATTTTCATCTTCTCTAAGAAAACCCACCTTACAATCCATCTTCCATCTATCTAGTAGTTGCCTATATTGGAACCAAGAATAAGTAAAATTTTCTTGTGCTAATTCTTCCCGTGATTTTAATTGCCAGTTTTGTCCATCCCATTTAAGTAACTGTCTGTAAGACACCATATCCATTTTAACCCCTCTTTTTATTCCTTCTATCGCATGCCAAGGTATAGCCCATAATGGTACTTTAAAATCACTTTTATAATATTTTCTCCAAATCCTAAGTAAAGAAATTCTTAAAATATGAGATTTAAAAGCCCAATCTATTTTTTTATTAAATATTAAATAGGCATGCCACCCATAAAGTAAATCCCATCCCTCTAGATAAAGTATCTCAGAATTTGTCAAATTTACCCAGTCACTAATTAATGTTAAAACCACCGCATCATAATATAATTTCAAATTTGGTACCTTGAGTCCGCCCCTCTCACGGAAGTCTTGCATAATTTTGAACTTAACCCTTGGTTTTTTCCCTGCCCAAATAAATTTATTGAGACCCTTCTGCCACTCATTTAAATTAATCTCATTTTTCAAAATTGGTAACATTTGAAACAAAAAAAGAAACTTGGGTAGAATATTCATTTTTATCACTGCAATTCTTCCCATGAGGGATAATTGCAGCTTTTCCCAATTCTTCAAGTCTTTCTGTACCCCGACCCACAACCTTTCATAATTATTTTTAAATAGTTTTGCATTAGAAACAGACAGCATCACCCCCAAATATTTTACCTTATTAACAATCTCAAAACCCGTCGAGTTAACCAAAATCTGCTTCTCCTGACTCAACAAATTTTTAGGTAAAATTTTAGTCTTATTTACATTAATCTTAAAACCCGAGACCAAACCATAATGGTGAATCAACTGTAATAAGTTTACTACAGAATAATCAGGTTGCGACAAAGTAACAACCAAGTCATCCGCAAAAGCTCTCAACTTATATTCTTTTTTATTAACATATATTCCTTTAATTTCCTGAGACTCTCGAATTTTAATCAATAATATTTCCAATGTTAAAACAAACAACAATGGCGATAAAGGACACCCCTGTCTAGTACCTTTCTCTATTGTGAAAACCTCCGACAAACCTCCATTAACAATAAGTTGTGCTGTTTGTTTTTGATATATTACCTTAAGGGCTTGTAATATGTTTTCACCAAAATTCATTTCTTCCATTACTCTTAGCATAAAATGCCAATTCAGTTGGTCAAATGCTTTTTCAGCATCTAAAAATATGAGCCCTGCAGGAACTTGGTTGTTCTTATCTAAGTATTCTAATAAGTTAATAATTTGTCTAACATTGTTTTTCATATACCTTCCTGTTATAAACCCTGATTGATCTTTATGCACAAGATGATGCACCACCCTCATAAGCCTATTTACCAAAATTTTTACAAATATCTTATAATCCACGTTTAAAAGAGATATAGGCCTATAGTTTTTTGGTAAAGTAAGATCTTGATCCTCCTTTGGAATCAATGATATAAAAGCACTACGCCATGAAGGAGGAATCTCTAAACCCTGTAAGATACCATTAAAAAGATCATTTAATGGTTGAATCATCTCCTCCATTAAAGCTTTATAATAAACAGCTGTTAACCCATCCGTACCCGGTGCTTTCCCTAATTTCAATTGTTGAATTGCTGAGGCGATTTCCTCCTTAGTAATTAAACCATTAATTTCATATTTCTGATCCTCAGTCAGTTTAGGAAAACTTGCCTCAGCTAAATATTTATTTATATCTAACAGTTGTACATTAGTAGATTTGTATAGGTTTTGATAATAATCCAAAAAAGATTTTTTAATTAATTCCTTCTGAGAAACTAGTTTACCCTTATAATTTATTTTCTCTATTATTCTCAGTCTCTGTTTCTTTCTTAATTGATAAGCCAACCATCTCCCCGGCTTATTAGCATTACAAAATGTATTTTGTTTCATAAATAATAAATTGGTTGCAGCTTGATCTGCTATCAACATATTAAATTGTGACCTTAATAACTTTACAGATTCTTTAGTACTTTCATCAGAAGGATTTAGAATCAAAGCCCTTTCTTTTAGTTTAATTTCATCTTCAAGTTCTCTACGTTTCTGAGTCTGATTTCGCTTATAAAAATTATTCATTTTTATCAAAACACCGCGCATAAATGCTTTACCTGCATCCCATACCATTGACATTGAAGTCCCCTTATACATATTCAAAGCAAAATAGTCCTTTAAACACTCCTTTAGTTTTTGAACATTCTTCTCTTGTCTAAACAAATTTTCATTAACTCTCCAGGATCTTCTTTCCTCTTTCTCTTGAATCAACTCCATCCAAACTGGACTATGATCCGTCAGTGATCTAGGAAAAATCTTTACATTCTTTACTTTATTATACAAATCCGTGGTAATCAAGAAAAAGTCAATTCTTGAAAAAGATTGGTGTCTGTCAGAAAAAAAAGTAAAGTCTCTCTCCTCTTGATTACGTTCCCGCCAATAGTCCCTTAATTCCCAGTCTTCTTTCATATCAAAAAAGGCTTTAGGTAGCCTTGCTTGTTTAAGAAAAGGAGAGGAACCTTTCTTATCCCTTTGTGTATCTAAGACACCATTCCAATCACCCATTAATACCACCGATCTATAATCAAGCAAAGTTATTTTTTGGTGTAACTGTTTATAAAATTGTTCCTGTTGTTGATTTGGAGCATAAAGTCCAACTATAAGTACTTTCTTACCATAAATACCAAGTTCAATCATCACATATCTCCCCTGGGGATCTGATTCTACCAGACAAGCTGGCAGGTTTTGTTTGACATATATAACAACTCCCCCTTTCTTCCCAGGTGCAGGAGATATAAAATGAGATCCCAAACGAGCATTAACTAAATATTTCTGATCTTTAAGTAGAATATGAGTTTCCTGTAAACAAATAACATCATTGGTATGTTGTTTCAAATAATAAAAGATTTTTTTCCGTTTCTGAGGAGAATTCAATCCATTAACATTCCAGGTCAAAAACTTTGCCATCTCCCTTGGCACGCAGCCTGGAGAAGACACCATCAAACTCTGACAGAGCTGCGTGTGTTGCATAACTCTTGGGTCTTGCTCCTCCCACCGGCGGTGATGCACTTCCAGGAGAATTCTCTTTGGGCTCTTTTTTACGTTGCTCTTTCTCTTTACGCTTATAAGCTGCACGAGTCATCCTCTGCTCTTTAGCCTCCATTTGGCGTTGCTTTGCCACTTCTATCATCCCTGCGGAAACCAAATCTAGTGCCTCAGATTGCTGCTCAGGTTCCTTAGCACTCAAAGATTTCCGACCAGATGAAGTTGAGCCTGCACTCAGGACCGAAGTATAGAAATCTCTAGCTTTGTCAACTGTGTTCAATCTGTAACGTGTCCCAGCATGGCTCAAAACGATACCCATCGGAATTTCCCATCTGAATGGCATCGATCTAGCTTTAAGCTCATTGGTTAAAAAAGCAAAGTCTTTCCTACTTCTTAAAATTTTAGATGGGATTTCCTTTAGAATGATGACATCTTGGGCGGCAATCTGAAATCTTTTGTTGTAAAAAGCTTGTATAATCTCATTCCGCAGGGACTTCTTTGTAAAGTAAATCACCACATCTCTGGGCAAATTCTTCTGCTTAGCAATCCAGGAGTTGAGTCTATAAATTTTTTCTACTTCTCTCTGTAATTCTCCTTTATCCATATCCAAAGCCAGCGCCAGATCACTAAGAACCACCTCCATCAAATCTTGATTCATATCTTCCTTGAGGCCTCTAATCCTCAGAGCATACTCCATTTGTCTGTATTGAAACATCAAAATATCTTCTTGTGAGGAGTCCACCTTCCTTTCCACGTCTTGAATTTTGTCATCTAAAGAGTCAACTTTGTCTTCCACTTCCTCAAGCCTTGCATCGAGCTTAACCACCACAGTAGCCAAACCTGAAACAGCTGCCAGTATATCTTGTCGTAATTCATTATTATTTTCTTGCAATTTAGACTTTATCCCCGTTATCTCTTCTTTGAGATCAGATTTAATTTCTGATTTAATCTGTGAAACAAATTGAGTCATTTCCTCTCTCATTTGAACTACAATCTCTCCCATTATGCCTCTAACCTCTTGCACTGAAAGTCCAGGTAGAGGAGGGGAGGGTGGTGGCTGAGCCGGTGGTGCATGTTTAGATTGTTGTTGTAGCTGTGCAGTGGAAGTTATAGGAGAAGAAATAACCTTGGGTACTGAGGAAGGCTGCTGCCTCTTTGAAGCCATTTTAAAAAGCACAATTGTCACTTCCCTTTCCCCTCCAGCCAAAAAGGGAGGAGGAAAAAAAGAAAAAAAGAATTTTTAAAAAGAGACAAACTATAATCATTAAAAGTCCAGAATAAATCCCAAGAATAAGTAATAAAAGAACAAACAATTCAAGAAAAAAATTCTAAGCCAAAAGCAAAAGCAAAAGCAAAAAACAATCCTTAAAAAGGGAAAGTAAAACAAAAGAGAAAGGAAAAAAAAACTCCGACACTTTCAAAACGCCATCTTAAGTCCTTTCACTAGTATAACAAAGAAAAGGAGGAAAAATAGTAAAAATCAAAAGATAAAAAAATAAACACCTAAAATATAAGAAAAAGTCCTTTAAACTGCTCCGTCCGTTTAAAAATTACTCACCAAAATGCTGTAAACACGGAGATAGAAGCGGCGGTTTCTTTTGCTTCCAAGGAAGCAAAAACAGCTGGGAGGCGGAGATCAGCAAGAGCTCCGAGGGAACACTCCTTTCACCCCCTCTAGAAATAAATCCAGAGGGGGTTCAGGGGTTCTACCTCTACTCTTGCGTTCTCTATCCCTTCCCTTTGCCCGGGAAGGGATTTCCGAGCCGCGGGCCAGCTGATGCGCGCTGCGCTCCGCGGCTCTGACACTTCCCCAGCTGGACGGCTAAAAGCTAGCCGCCATCGCCGTCGCCTCCCACCGGAAGCTCGAAATCAGAATTTCTTGATAGCAGGATTTTGATCTCCATACCGATGGGTGATGTAGCTAGGTGATTTTGGACTCTGGACTAACTGCTATGTAAAGTCAGCCCTTTTTAGATTATAGAACTTTGGATGAGTTTTTTATCATGTCAGAAAGAAAAGCTATACATAATCAGTGCTTTGGTTCAGGATTCATTTCTTGAGAAACAGAAGATTTTATATAATAGAAATATTTAATTTTAAGCTTTGGTTCAACATTTTCTCCCCATTTTTAGTTAAGTAATGTGACTGAGCAAAACAAGAAGCTTGAAGTCCAGTCTCAAAAAGTACAGGCTCGTTTAGAGAATTTGCAGGTAATATTTAATCTTAGTTTTTGTTACCTTTGCTCTCTGCCCACTCCACATCAGAAATCTTACATATTGTCTTTCTGACCTATTTCAGAGAAAGCATGAATTTTTATCAGTGCAGAGATCTAAAGAACCCACATTCCAAGACCGTAAACCTGTGAAGTCAGAAAGAGCAATAGCATCAGCAAAGGCCTATAAAGTAAGTAAGGCAAATTCTATAAGTACTCAAGGCCCCAACTCAGAATTTTGAAGTCAGACAGCCTTATTTTGTGTGAGAGTGGAAAGAGCAGCTGTGCATATAAAATATACAATTGTCCTTTTTATATTGTATATCAGACACCTTGTGGATACTGACTATTTGTATGCATAAGATATTGAATTATGTTTGTTTGTATTATTGAAGGTAATCAGTGTATTCTCAGAATTCCTAGTGATCATTTTTAAAAAAATGGCCAAATATTTTTTTTAATAAACTAATGATATCTTACATCATTAATATACATTATGTATTAACTATGCATATATGTTTAAGGAAGAAAGAAGTTAAAAAGATCAAGAGCTAAAGAAATTTGAAATTAAAATCTTTGCATACATTTATTGATTTGGAGATTATGCTTAAATTACAGAATGCTTTTTGCAAATACGAAGGTTGATTGCTTTATATATATAAATCCCTTCGTCTCTATCAATCAAGTCCCAACCAACATTAAACTGATGCATGAAAAGAAATGGAAAGCTTCACAAATGGTTCAGCAGTGAGCAGGGAGAGAGACAAAGATGTGTGATGGTTAAAAACACAAATAATGCAGTGTGCTGGTTTGGCAGTTAATATCTGTGTACTCTTGTGTTGATGCCCGACACCTCAAGCAATTTTCAGGGAATGCTAGACAAAGTATATGATGCAATGAAGAATATAAATATGGAAAGAAATATCAAAGGCTCAGATAAATGTGCTTGACAAGAGAATAGAGGGATTGATTGCCCATTAGTGATGAAAAATTAGAGCTAGTAGATGAATGTATGTTGCTTGTGTATTAAAGATAATAAAATGGGTGGTGGAATTTGTGACCTGCAGATACTGGTAGAATGTATGGAAGATTGAGTATGTCAGAAGAAATATAAATGTAAGTTGAGGAATATCATAAATAGCAAGTAAAAAGAACTAAAGTATGAAATTAAAAAGAAGCAATGGCTCAATCTGATGTGCGAATCTACTGACAAAATCTAAAAGTTCTATCCTCCATTTAAACTTTCTCACATAACATCACAAGCTCTTATACACTGACCAGCTTGCCTGGGTCTCCTGCCTCTTCCCATCTTATATCCTGGAGTAACAATGGCAATTGGGATTGTTGGAATTACCAGCTCTGAGCAATGTGGTCACGTGGCATCACTTAATGAGCCTATTACTTAGCAACAAAAATTCTACTCCCAATTACCATCATCAACTACATTTTCAGTATTACAGGATGTATTATCCATGCATATGAAGTTGGAAGAACATTTCCCTTCTCATTTTTTTACCAGTACCATCTATGATTTCCATGCACTTTGGGAACAGGTGACCCAAATTGGATATGTGTTGCACAGCCAAACATACAAATTGGCACATCCTGTCAATATAATCTTATAGTAAAGATATTTTCAAATCTCCTTTCTGTGCTTTATTTTTTGGCAGTTACCACTTAATTCACATGTCTATAACTTGTTAACGGTATTAATGGACTGGATCTCAGAGCAGCACCTATGCAAATTGATTGTTGAGGAAGAGAAAGAAAACATTCACAAGCTAACAGGAACACTTGCTTCCAGCATAAACTATACACAGGAGAAATGTGTCAAGGTAGAATTTTTTCCAACAATGTAAAAAAAAGGTATATTGGTATTATTTGTATGTTCGGTACTGGTATATTAAAATACTCTGTTGATTAAATAGAATGATTTCATATTATAGATCCTAAGATCTTCATGTTACTTTCATTAGAAAGCCCGTTATCTAAAATGGGCCCCCAACCTGTGGGCTGTAACCCACTACCGGTCCATGGTCTATTCGCAACTGTGCTGCATGAGTGGCTGGCTGGTGCACGTACATACATGTGCAACCCCACTCCCGCGAGCATCATGAGCACTCGGAGCCACACTTGCGTAAGTATTGCAGGCACTCACGGCCCCACTTGTGTGAGCGTCAGGGCTCGTGGCCCCACTTATGTGAGCGTTGCAGGCACTCAGCCCCATTCATGCAAATGTTGCGGGTGCTTGCGCAAGCATCACAGATGTTTTCCGCCTCACTCACATGAGTAATGGGTGCTCGTGACATGCACACACACTTGCGTGCCCCTCCCACAGAAACATCCCCTCCTGGCTGGCAACCCAGAAAATTGGGGAAATCTGATCTAAAACAAGGGATCCATGCTTATAGGTGTATCTTCAGATGAATGTTTGGTATGCAGGTATGTTTCATGATATGTAACTAGCATATCTGGTTCCCTATGTTTTGGATTTCATTCATCTAGCTCAAGTTAATTAATTCTGATGTATCATTTAAGATTTTTTTTAAACCAGAGATAATGGTTACTTAAGATAGAAAATTACAAAACAAAAGTGCTCATACATGTCCATTAGCTGCAGTGCTAAACATGCTTGCCTAAAAGTAACCCGGTTGGTTGTAGTGGGACTTGTTTCTAATTCAGCATGCATAGCCTTACACCAGAGGTCCCCAACCTTTTGGGCACCAGGGACCGGTGCCATGGAGAAAGGTTTTACCGTGGACCAGAGGGTGTGTGGTTTTGAATGCTGCCTGCATCTCAAGGATGGAGCTTTGCTTGTTTGCACGGCCCGCTTGTTGACATGCTGCAGACCGGTGCTGGTCCACGGTCCAGGGGTTGGGAACCCCTGCCTTACATCATCCATTCCACACAGGCCCAAGTAAGCTTCTTCCTGTGTTCTTCTGTAATAAAAAAGTTGCGATAATGCCAAAATGAGTTTAGTAGGGTTTTTTATTTCTCAATCAAGCTGCATACCGAAAATATTTAAAATCCATTAATGGCAGCATAAGGCCAAACATACTATCAGAAAATTATGTGTTAGCTGCAGTACAGATTTTATTACCAGGCTTCTGTTATTAACCCTGCAATCCAGCTTATGTTCCTAGTACAGGAATTTCAAGGAGGATGTAAAACTTCCCTGCATAAAGAACACTCTCATTCCATAATGATATGTTGCTATATCAACAGGCATCATAAACAAATACAGATCCAAATGGTTTTCATTATGCAAAATAGTGACGGCCAAAACACTACAATGTTGTCCTGAATACAGTTTGTAGCCCAGATAAGTGATAGCTGATCTTGGCTGATCTGAAAAAGTCCAAGTTAATTCCTGGATCAGTGACCATAGCCAAATCCCAAGGCTCAAGGCAGTGACAAACCACTAGGTTAGAAATTGCTAGTAAAAGTAGACTATTTCAGATTAAGTGAGATTGATATAATTTAAACTGGAATGTTCACTGAAAAAGACAGTCTCCCTGTCTATTTAACTTACATACAGAGCACATCATGAGAAAGGCAGGGCTAGATGAATCAAAAGTTGGAATTAAGATTGCTGGGAGAAATATCAACAACCTAAGATATGCAGATGATACCACTCTAATGGCAAAAAGTGAAGAGGAACTAAAGAGCCTCTTGATGCGGGTGAAGAAAGAGAGTGCAAAAGTTGGCTTGAAATTCAACATTAAGAAAACCAAGGTCATGGCATCCAGCCCTCTCAATTCCTGGCAAATAGATGGGGAAGAAATGGAGGTAGTGACAGATTTTATCTTCCTGGGCTCCAAGATCACCACATATGGGGACTGCAGCCAAGAAATTAAAAGACACTTGCTCCTGGGGAGGAAAGCTATGGCAAATCTAGACGGCATACTAAAAAGCAGAGACATCACCCTGCTAACAAAAGTGCGTATAGTCCAGGCCATGGTTTTCCCAGTTGCAATGTATGGCTGTGAAAGTTGGACCATAAGAAAGGCTGAGCACAAAAGAATTGAAGCCTTTGTACTATGGTGCTGGAGAAGATTTCTGCAAGTCCCCTGGACTGCAAGGCGATCAAACTGGTCAGTCCTAAAGATCTTTAGAAGGCCAGATACTGAAGTTGAAACTCAAGTACTTTGGCCACCTAATGAGAAGGAAAGACTGACTAGAGAAGAGCCTAATGCTGGGAAAGCTTGAGGGCAATAGAACGGGACAACAGAGAATGAGATGGCTGGATGGAGTCACTGAAGCAGTAGGCGTGAGCTTAAATGGACTCCAGAAGATGATAGAGGACAGGAAGGTGTGGAGGAACATTATCCATGGGGTCGCGATGGGTTAGACACGGCTTCGCAACTAACAACAACGAAGGCAATTCATTATTGCTTGAATAAAATTAAAGTATTTAAAGTTCAAACGTATAAAAACATGAACTTTTTTTTTTGTTTGTTTGTTTTTTTTTTTTTATTGAAAGTTTTATAAATTTTACAAAAAAGGAAAAATAATACAAAACAAGAGGCAACATATACAGAAAAATAAAACTAAACAATACATATATTAAATAAAAAGAAAAAAAAATCCCATCCCCCAGCCCTCCCAAAAGAAAGAAAAAAAAAAAAAAGAAAGAAAAAAAACCCTCCCTTCCCCCCCCCCGAGCTTCCCAGAGCAGAATGTAGGCTTAAAAAATAAAAATAAAAATTAAATTAAAAACTTTATATTTATATATATATAAAAAATTATCTATAATATATATGAAAATAAAACTTATGAGTTTGTTTGTTTGTTTTAATCAGGTTCCAGCACAATCCTAGCACCTGGATCAGCCAAATAGAGGGGTTGGGAGGACTGGATTTGTAGGGAAAAAAAGCAGGAAAAAATAGTGAGAAAAAAAATTAACACAATGCATTTCTCTAGTTCATAGTTTGAGATATTTCTGCATATTAATATTTAACTTTTGATAATTTTATTTTTTATTACCAGCATAAGAACCAGTTTCCAAATAAAATCTATGTGTAAGGCCATAATTTGGAAAATAATTGCAATTTTATGTTTGTGTTTTGCAGCTTTTGCCTCTAGTTGCAGAACAACTTCGGTGGTTGCCATTTGTGAATCCTAATCTGCACTTCCCTGTGGTTAAGTGCATTTACTGGGCTGTAAGGCAGTTAGATGGAAGTACTCAGGTAAAATATGTTTTCATGCAGGAACTGTGCTTTTCACTAAGAATGTTTCTCTGAACAAAAAAAAATGTTCATGTTTTATGGCATTAGCTAATCTAAATCTTACTCTCCTTCTAGATGAGATGGGCAGCACATAAATCAAATAAATATTGAAATAATTAAATATTTAATCATAGGTAAATCATTTTAATATTAATACAATTATATTCCACAATTTTTCTTGTAAGACTCAGTTTTTTGTGAATCCATCTTGAGAGACTACTAGAATTCTAGATCTGAACAGATTGTTTTGTAAAATTGCAGGATTCTCTTTATACCATTTATATAATTTTTTTTATTGGCTTCAAGCCAGCATAATCTCCCTTTGTTTTTCTGCTTTGATGCAAATTCATATCAATCTTATAATTAATCATTATGGAATAATGCATCTTCATTACAGATTTATAATAGGCAGAAAACCTTCAGCTCTAATTCTAAATACAAACTGTAGTGTCAAACCTATTAAATGGTTTATTACATTAAGTATTTATCTTCTGAGATCACTGGTTTAGAAGTACATTGAATATTTTAAATGACCAGATTACAGTGTTGATAATACTTGTCTATAACATTTACATTACCATAAAATGTATATATAATAAATATATTATGACAATATATAACACAGAATCTATAATCTCTGCTTTTTATTGCTTGCATAAATAGCATACAGCAATGACCTCAACCATGAGACGGCTGGGTGAAGACTTATTTAAAGGTGTTGTCCCTAAGGAAAATCAGCACAATTCTTCAGAACATGCTACTGATTCCAAACCCAAGGCTGCATCTTTCTTTAAAAGTTGTAGTTTGTCTTTACGAGTTGTGTCAACTTTAATTATAATCAAAGTGGTCACACAAGGTAAGCGTTATAAATATTTTTGAAAATATTAAACACTAGAAACCTAGGAAAATTGTTAGTGTCTTTAGAAAACTTTTTAAAAGTTGTCCTACAAGTAATATTTAAAATATTCAAAGTGCAGAAGCAAGTATTTTTCCTACAGTGTTGGTAGAGACTATCCTTTATTAGGTTTGCTCCTCTCACTTGCTGCTTCAGGCAGGATCACAAAATTCCACTCACCTTGGGTTAGGATCCTATTTTTGATTTGTAGAATTCTTTGAAAGTTCCATTCTTCAGGTTTTTCATCAAGGACTATCATGGAAATCAAGGGCAGAAACTGCCTCTCTCCAAAGATATATCTGAATATCTTCTGATGGTTGTGATCTCATCAGGCAAAGAGATCCCAGCAGCTTTGATTCCAGTTGTAATAATCTCTTGTATACATTATGCACCTTTCTTTTCCTTCTTGGAGGTATCTCACAGAGTGGCAACTGAGTACAATCAACTCAATTTACATATTGGAAATGTGCAGTTGGAGCCATCTTTCTTTAGGTTGTACCTACAAAGATTCCTTTAAGCTGTTATCCTGAACCACCCTGGAAATATTGACTATAATATATGTATTTCCTGTTATCTCAATATCTGATGACCAAAAATTGTAGTTTGATTGACCATACAATACTTTTCTTGTCATCAGAAGATAAACAAAAAAGATTAATGGAGTAGCCAAGCATGCTCTATTAGCATGGTTAGAGCTGTGGTGATGCAGTGATTAGAAGGCAGTATTGCAGCTAATTTAGCTCACTGCCAGGAGTTCGATACTGACAGGCTCAAGATTGACTCAGTCTTCCATTCTTCCAAGGTTGGTAAAATGATTGTTGGAGGCAATATGCTGACTCTGTAAATTGCTTAGAGAGGGCTATAAAGCACTGTGAAGCGGTATATAAGTCTAAATGCTATTGCTAGTTCCAAATTATGGACCTGTCCAGTAAATAAGAGGGCTTCCACAGCAAAGGCTGAATCATTTTATAAAATTGCTTATCTAACCATCTTAAATCTATTTGTTGTTGTTAATTGCGAAGTCGTGTCCGACCCATCGCGACCCCATGGACAACGTTCCTCCAGGTCTTCCTGTCCTCTACCATCTTCTGGAGTCCATTTAAGTTCACACCTACTGCTTCAGTGACTCCATCCAGCCATCTCATTCTCTGTCGTCCCCTTCTTCTATTGCCCTCAATCTTTCCCAGCATTAGGCCCTTCTCCAGTGAGTCCTTCCTTCTCATTAGGTGGCCAAAGTATTTGAGTTTCAACTTCAGGATCTGGCCTTCTAAAGAGCAGTCAGGGTTGATCTCTTTTAGGACTGACCGGTTTGAATGCCTTGCAGTCCAAGGGACTCGCAGGAGTCTTCTCCAGCACCATAATTCAAAGGCCTCAATTTTGCAACGAGAAGCTCATGATCTGAGCCACAGTCAGCTCCTGGTCTTGTTTTTACTGACTGTATACAGCTTCTCCATCTTTGGCTGCAGAGCACATAGTCAATCTGATTTCTATGTTGACCGTCTGGTGATGTCCATGTGTAGAGCTGTCTCTTGGGTTGTTGGAAAAGAGTGTTTGTTATGACCATCGTATTCTCTTGACAAAATTCTATTAGCCTGTGCCCTGCTTCATTTTGTACTCCAAGGCCAAACTTGCCTGTTATTCCGGTTATCTTTTGGCTTCCTACCTTAGCATTCCAATCCCCCATGATGATAAGGACATCATTTTTTGGTGTTAATTCTATAAGGTGCTGTAGGGCTTCATAAACTGGTCAATTTCATCCTCTTCAGCACCAGTGGTTGGGGCATAGATTTGGACTATTGTGATATTGAATGGTTTGCCTTGGATTCGAATTGAGATCATTCTGTCATTTTGGGGATTGTATCCCAGTATTGCTTTTCCTATTCTTTTATTGACTATGAAGGCTACTCCATTTCTTCTGAGGGATTCTTGCCCACAGTAGTATACCTGATGGTCATCTGAGTTAAATTCACCCATTCCTGTCCATTTTAGTTCGCTGATTCCTAAGATGTCGATGTTCAGTCTTGTCATCTCTTTTTTGACTACGTCTAGCTTGCCTTGATTCGTGGATCTTACATTCCAGGTTCCTATGGAGAAAAAATCTTTACAGCATCGGACTTTCCTTTCACCACCAGATATATCCACAGCTGAGCGTCCTTTCGGCTTTGGCCCAGTCGCTTCATTCTTTCTGGCGCTACTAGTACTAGCCCTCTGCTCTTCCCCAGTAGCATATTGGACACCTTCCGACCTGAGGGGCTCATCTTCCAGCGTCATATCTTTTTGCCTTTTAGTACTGTCCATGGGGTTTTCATTGCAAAGATACTGGAGTGGTTTGCCATTTCCTTCTCCAGTGGATCACATTTTGTCAGAACTCTCTGCTATAACCTGTCCATCTTGGGTGGCCCTGCATGGTATAGCTTATAGCTTCATTGAGTTACGCAAGCCCCTTCGCCACGACAAGGCAGTAATCCATAAAGGGGCTTAAATCTATTAGAGATTTTCAAAATGACAAGTTTGAAAAGCCACCCCGCAAGTCTATTTTCATTTCTGAACAAAGAAACATTAATTATAAGTATAAGAACTTAAAGAATGTGAAATAAATGGCAAAAATAAGTTTTTGATCCAAGAAAGCTAGAAACGAAGACAACTTTTGAATATTGAAACTTTTACTATAAGAATATGGAACTAACTATATGTGGACAGTATATTATTTTGTCATAATAGATTATTTCAATTAAATACGAGGGGCTTAAAGTCCAGGCAAAAAGAAAAAAAATGCCTTATTTTTTTTAGAGTTATGTCAACTGTCCCAGATAAACCAAAGCCAAGTGTGACTAGTTAACTAGTTTATTGTGAGGCTACATCAAAAGACTCTTGAAGTCTGAAAATACAAACTTCCTGCCACCACTTTTAATTTCTTGATCCATTGATCCATTAGGGCAGGGGTGTCAAACTGCCAGCCCACAGGCCAGATGCGTCATGGCAAAACTGCGCCCACCCCATTGCTGGCAATGGGAAAAAAGCATGATAGTCGCGACACATCACATGATGTTGTAAGTTTGACACACCTGCATTAGGACAATCCTACATTTCTTTCTTTGATCATTAAACCATCGGTCTTCTGCCTCTCTCGTCTTGATTGTTTTCTAGGGAGCTCTCTTTCATTCCTTCCCCAAAGTCATCCACATTCCATTACAGATTAGAATCTACAAAATGACATACTACAGCGTTTGAAATATTAAAGGAGTTTTTGAAGAATGGGACCAGAAATTAGTAGCCACAGTATCAGTAACAATGTCTGCTTCTGTAGATTATATCTAAAAGATGTTTAATGAAGGAATGAAAGATGTGAAATGAATCTTGCTTGATTCAGAAAAAATAGAATGAGCCCTAGGAAGAAAGCAATGGCAAACCGCTTCTGAAAATCTCATCAAGAAAACAGCAGGGGTTTGTCCAGGAAATCACCAGGAATCAACACTAGCTCGAAGACTCCCCATCTCTTATACACACACATATACACAAAGATACACTAGTTTGATTTCTTTTTCAAAATTACATCGACCAGAGAAAGATAAGCTTATGAAAAAACCTTTAATCACTAAGGCTAATGAATTTGGAATGAGTACTTTGAAGTGATGCAGAATAAATGTTCTATAGTAGTAATCAAAATGTGACTAATAACTATTAAACTTTACAAGTAGTTGGCTAACACAATGCAAATCATTAGAAAAAGGAAGAAGAGAAACTGTAGATAATGAATAATACATTAAGTCAATACTATAAAATTATATGTAGTTCATATGGTAATGTCAAGAAATAAACTCCAAAACTCACAAATTGGAAATTATAAATGCAAATTATAATCTAAAATGGTTTTGAAACGGAATTGAATTCCAAATCAGATTTACTGTTCAAAAAATAAGTTATTCTAGAAATTGAAACTGTATTGCTATCTTAATAAGCTAATGCTGAGAGACCCCCCCCCCCCTTCCCCAAGTTTGTTTCTCTCTAAGGAGCTGTATAACTTGCCCTTTCATTAGCAGCTGTCTCTTGCTGTACAGAAAGGCAATTTCTGTTTGACTCAATTCTGGCAAAAAAAAACCAGGTTAGGCTATTTAAACCTAGAGAAACTTGTGACTAATTGCTTTGCCTGTCATAAATCACAGTCAAAAGTTTCTGTCTTGAGTTGCAGTGGATTAAGCAGTACCAATGATCTGACTTAAATTTCCCACAATCAGTCCAAATAATATGTATGAATTTGAGAGATAAAGATGGTAGCTGTTACTGGATCTTGCCTTGAGTCTAAGTTATATACTGCCAAAATTCAAGCTGTTACAGAGATGGTTCTAGCTCTGAATTCTGTGTTGAACAGACCATATCTGCCCAACGTTCTTTGATCCTTATGCAGGCATAAATTAAGCTGAACTGCTCTAATTATTGAGGTTCAGCTTCATTCAGGTACATTCCGGATTTCTTTCTCTTGGTTTACACTTTCTTTCAATGGCATTCCTCATGGCTAGGTAGCCTTAAATCCAGTTGGCAAGGCTGAATCTATTTTTTCAATGACATTGAAATTTGGTTTTGAACTTGGTGTTTAATTTGATGGCTTCTTCAGCTGTACATCTCCAAATGAATATGACAGTTGAGCCCACATGGAACATTTTCTGCCCACTGAACATCAGCCTTCAACCTTGGCAACCCATGCTAAGGGCTGTACATCTGAAATGTACAGGAAGCCAAGTGCAACATAAACCTCTTAGAGATAATGGAGATAGCATCATTAGATTTTCACTTTCTATTTCAGATCCACACTTTTTTGCCTTCACAGACATCTGGTGTGCCATTTTCTTGGAGGAGTTGAGCAAGGCAAAAACTTTTTCAACAGAACATATCAAAAGTGCTGTGATTCAGTTTTGTACCTTAGAGCACAAAACACGTCATCAGCCCATTGAAATATTTCTATGCTCCTAGTAAGCACAGTATCAGAGAGTTCATATCCCATTTTCAAATATCAGTGGAAACCCTGATTTTGAAAAAGCCCAAGGATCTTCCTATGCTTTTCTGATTTTTTCTGGTCAGGTTTATACAAAATTTGTCAGGAGGCAGTAAAGTTTGTCAAAACGAAGTTATTAGTAACTCCATCTTGGAGATCTTTGGTTTAGAGATAATCCAACTTTCCATAAAAGTCCCTCGGACCCTTTCATCCTATAAGGAACTTCTGGGTTTTTCACTCATCCAGATGCAGACTATTTAAAGCTATGTGTATGGACATTGGATTGTTCCTTCTGTAGGATTTAAGTTATAATTCGATACAATCCAAATTACCTTAGCTTTTCTAAGGGGATCCATGATGCTTATCCATGAAGTTATCTCGCCCAGAGTCATCTTGTAGGGGAGATGGGCAGCTTAAAAAATAATAATAATAAAAAAAGTTCCCAGAAGGGCTTTTTGCCATAAATGTAAAAGATTTTTCCCTCAAAAAAAATTTTCATTGAGATTTGAACAAAGGGTGTGTCCAAATACTTGGCACATACTGTATAGCTGTGGCCTCAATTTCCTTTATTGTAAAGGAATTTAGAGATAACCTCGGAGAAGGTCTGAAAGAATGGTTAAGGAGGAGCTTATAGATAAGAGAACATGTCCAAGTACTGAAGCACACATGAGAAAGAAATTCAACCCCACCATTTCATTTAGTATTGGGGGGGGAGGGGGCAGAGAGAAACTTGGATAGGCTTTCTAGTTTCTGTTATTAAGTAGCATTCCTAAAATCTCTGGTGTATGTTTTTTGATTTAGTTTACCTTGAAAGGTTGTTTGAAATGTTTGGTTTTTTTAAAAAAATCCTGTAATTCTTCCAAAGAGTTTTTTGGAGGAACCTCAAATCTGTAGGATCATAGTCATAGGTTTCCATTATGGAACCTACACTTCATGCTTAAATAATCTCTCAGTTCTCTCTTCAACAATTGCATCAAATATAACTCAGATTAATGTCTTAGAATCACAAATCTTCAGATCATATTTTGTTTCTTTTCTTTAATAAATGTAGATTTGGAAGTGAAATAGTCATTCATAGGTGAATCGTTCTGGCTTATTTGCTTTTTAGATTTCTATCCCACCTTTACCTGAGGCATGATGCTCCCTCTTCCCAGTCTAGGTTGATCTGAAAGAGAATACTCAGTGAGCTGCTATGGCTGAAAGCTTCTGCTGGCTGTTGATCCATTGGATATCACAACACACCCTACCAAAACTTCAGTACTTTTTCCAACGATGGTTCTTTGGGAGCCATGTGTTGGTAGCTAATTGGCCATATGGTTTATTTTTTATTCAGTTAGATGCTTTTGTTTCAGTTGAAGATCCTTCAATGGGTTGTCCATTCCTCCTAAAGTGCCTTCCTTTACCCAGTATTCCTACTCTTAATGCAGGATGCTTTATTATAGCTCACTTAAGGAAAATGAGACTGTTACTTACTGGGGACACCTTTCTCTATGGTAGATAGAGAGAGTGGTCAAGGGAACGTTGCTTATTCAATAATTAGTGCAGAGGTGTCAAACTCAATTTCATTGAGGGCCGCATCAGCATTGCGGTTGCCCTCGGGGCCGGATGGGTGTGGCCAGGGTGGGTGCAGCCTGCTAGGTAGGCATGGATGGAGTGGGTGTGGCCTACTGGGTGGGCATGGCCAGCTCTACATCATTCGCGTCAAGGCTGCCTGTGGGAGCCTGGGCAGGAGTGGGACAGATCTGAGGGTCTCTGGCAGAAGGGGATGGGACCAGGGCAAATGCCAAGGCATGGTCCACTGGAGGAGCCTCACTGTTCCTCTCAGGCCATGCAGGGGGGGCTGGATGGTGGTGCGGGCTGCCAGAGCCCTGGGCAGCAGAGGTCAAATGCCCAGCCTGGCCCTTGAGCACCCACAGCACCAAACCCAGCTCCACTTCCTCAAGGCTGCTGCTCAAGGTTCTCCTGGTTCCTCACTGTTTCCAGACAGCCTTGTAGAGCTAAGACTGAATGTGTTTCAGCATAGATGGCCACCACAAAATTATACATTGGCTCTTGGCAGGCCTGGGCCAGGGCCAAGACAGCGGGGGCCGTTCCCTCACTGTTTCCAGGATGGCTTCACAGGCCACATGACACCACTTTGCGGGCTGCATCCGGCCCCCGGGCCTTGTGTTTGACATGTCTGTTAGCGGATGGGGAATCAGAATATTTTCACTGTCTCCTCTTAGGCTATATTTCTGATGGAATTCTCTACTTTTCAAGTGCAGAACTGGAAATGAGTCAGTCCTCCCACAGATGTATATAAGATCCCCATGATCCTGCCTGTTAAAGCAAGAATGAGCAGTGAAGGATGCCTTCAATCTATCATAGGAAAAAGAAAGCCTTACAATAAGCCAAAATTCCTTTCTCAGATGAAATTGTGAAATGTGTGTTCATTACAAATTAAATTAAATGTACTGATACATAATTAGTAAAGACATAATACAGTAGGGGGCACTCTAAGTAAGGTTTTTGCAGTTTCTGAGATATAATCTTGCAAGAAAATAAAACCTATACACATAGTACAATATTTGAAATATATCCAAAGTAAATGTAGCTTGCATTAAGATGCCAGAGTTTTTTAGTGAAAAATTTACTATGAATAGAGTTACTACCTATCTACTCTTTTAGGGTATTGATTTAAACATACTAATAACCTACACTGAACACTATGGCAATTTATTTATTTACTTATTTATTTATTTATTGTTAAAAATAAATTTTTAAGGATTTTGCTGCTATTTCTATTTTTTTCTTTTAATATTCAGATTGATGTTAGCAAGTTTTCAAATAGATTGTTTTTTGTTTCACTGAAGTTACAGCACAGTACAATAATAAGTTTCAGTGGCCAGTAAAAAACTCATAGTTATATGAATTTCATGAGTAGTTGAGTGTTCACATTTTTCAACCATCTAAACATCTATTGATTTTTTTCTACATTATTATATCCATTCCTGAGGACCAGCCATGTTGAAACAAAAACCAGAAAATCTTGGGACATATTTAAACTATTGCATGTTTATAGAGTGCAGCCTACACTGTTAAAGGTGAAAGGAGAAAAATAGAATCATAACCATAATGCTACAAGAAATCCACAAAAGCTGAACGCTTAAAGTGTCAAATTTAGCAGAAATGGCTAAGATTTCTGCTTATTTGAAGGATTATTCACAAGAAAGATACATTTCGGTTTGGAAAAAATGGATAGATTATATTCAGAATAAATATGGGACTAAAAAGTTACATTTATTTTATGAATAAATTTTAGAATATTATTGTTATTATTACTATTATTAATAGTTTAGTATAGTGAAATTTTATGATATTGTGTTGTTTAGAAATTAGGAATTTAATTTGTTTATATGATTAAGTTTATTCTTAAATTATTTACTTTGTGTTAAAGAGTTAAAGCGCATTATATTTGTTTACCTATATAGTTGGTTAATGTTAGTTAGATTATGATTATTATATTTATTACCCTGTATTCAGCTCTGGGAAGTGGGGGGGGGTGGGTTTGGGGTATATTTTGTAATTTTTTGTAAAACTTTTCAATAAAAAAAAGAAATCCACAAAATCTATATCTTTGATGCTCCACTGTCTACAATTTTGTTCTGATGCATTTTTTCTCCGGCAGAAGGACAACCTGAAGGTGACCCTCCCCAAACCACACCTCTCTCTGGATCACTAAGGACCGATCACTTTAAAGCAGCGTTTTCAAGCTTTGCAACAGGAAGATGTGTGGATTTCAACTCCCAGAATTCGCCAGTAACCTTGGGAGTGAAGTCCAAACATCTTCACGTTGCCATGGTTAAAAAACATTGCTTTAAATGGTCTGTGAACCGGGAACATTCAGCAAAGGGTCCGTTATGTCATTTTCCTTCCAGACTTCTTACCTGGCTCTGTACTTTAGACATTTTAAATTAAACATTGGCCTGCTGTCCCAAATTCTCTAGCATCATAATCGTTTACACAATGCCCCTTGTACCATGTAGGCCCATAAATACTTCAAGAGAAATAAAATAGTGATGGCTACAACCCGAAGCTTTGCTCAAAAATATGTTCACACATTTTTTAAAAAATGAAAATAATAAAAACTGGGGATGGTAGAGAGCAGCTTGTTTGCGGTGATGTCATCCTTGTCTGTCACATTGTAAAGGCTTCTTTCATCCAACTGGTTTATGAGAGGACTCAGAATAGGCGAAAGTTTCCAATATGCCTCCCTGGGATTATAAGTCATTTTACATACAGTCTGTTGGCTTAAAATGTGAAACCAGGGGTCTGCTAGAAGTCATCACTGCTATTGAGGTTGTCATTAATAAAACATAACAGGATTTTGTGAGTGTAATTTGCTTCAAGTCAATTTTCTTAATATGGTGCTGCTTGACATAGATAATGAGCAGTATAATTTACAAACTTTGATATAGCACATTGTGCAGGATTTTATGCACATTAGTGATGGCCTGTATGGATGTCTAGAAACAATGGTGTACATCTGTAATATTTAAATTCAAATGCATCTTTTAGCTGATTATTTGGCACAAGCCTTTGATTCACTTTGCATTGATCTGAAGACTGAAGAAGGGAAAGTCTTGTTTTTGGACTACCAAGCTGTGCCCATAATATTGACTCACCTAAGAATGTCAAGGAAAGGCCTCCTTTCCAATGCCATTGACAGTTTACTTCAGATGACAACAGAATCTAGTAAGTAATCAACATTCCTTTCATGCACTTTTTACATTGTTTAGCTCGTTTTGTATGCCTTCCATGTTTACTTTTGGGTTAATTGCACAATACGTTATTGCAAGGGAAGGATTACTATTATTTTTATTAGGCAGAATGAGAAATTCTGCAAAAGAAAATGTATTTTCCCCTGTCGTAGTTCAATATGATAGGCAGCTAGTTTTTTGAAAAAGTGAATGCTTTATACTTTATAGAAGGGATTTCAAGCTTTGTGTCCATTGGATATTTGTGTATGAGATTGTATGAGATTGTAATGTATGGAAGTATAATATTGTACTAAATATTGTAGGGCTGACCTTTTCAATAAGATCTCAGCATAGACCTGTTTATGTAAATACAAATTCTAGTAATAAGATGCCTTTCAATTCTTTCTGATTTATATTGGTTATTGAATACTTAGTAAGTGTAAGCTCTCTAGAAATAAACATGTACACTGTGGGTTTATGTACAAGATTGTTTATGGATTGTTTCTTTTATTGGAATTATAACTAATAACTTCTTAAACTGATACCTGGGTGATTGAATTTTTTAACCTTTCACATGTAAACACTTTTATACTGCAACTGTTGGTTCCAATATTCAGAACACCATCATTCCTATCTCTGTGGCCATACTTTAATATCAAATTAAGTAGGATCTCCAGATGTGCCTCCAGCCAAACAGAATAATCATGCTACATTTAAAACTTACAGTTAGTGGAATTAAAAGAAAAAACTCGGTGTTCCTATAGAAACAAGACAGCTTGATTTTCTACTGAGATAAATCACTGTTAAGGATTCATCCCACAGTTTCTGCTTAGAGCATAGGTCAGCAACCTGCGACTCCGGAGCCGCATGCAGCTCTTTCAGCCGTCTCCTGCGGCTCCCAGTCCATATGCATTTCAAAAAAAAAAGGGACTAAAAAAGTTCAACCAATGAATTCAAACTTTTCACAAAAAAAACTTGTGAAGTTTGACATGATTGGCTTAACTTCTTTGGTTTGTGGGACTGCCCACAAACCTCTTCTCTCTCCTCAGACTGCACGGACTGTTAGAAAGGTGAGTAGGCTCTTTTCTCTGGGGAGTTGCATAGGCCAGGAAAAGGGAGTGAGCGCCCGGCCACTCCGCCGTGCAAAGATGCCCACCCCGGGAGAGAGCGCCAAGGTGGCCTACTGGCTCAGGAATTCTGGGAGTTTAAGTTGAACCCCCCCCCGCCATTCCGCCATTGCGCGGAACATGCCTCGCCGCATCCAGACGCTCGTCCCTACCTTGCCCTCAGCATCGCGCTGCTCCTCCTCCTCTCCCTGGCCAGCCGCTGCCTGAGCTCGCTCATCCTGGCCCGCCACTCCGCCCGTGCTTCGCCTTGCCTCGGCCCGACAAAGCAACTGCAGCAGCAACAGAAGTGACAGCCGAGCCCAGGAATTGGGGCGGGGCTCGGGGAGTGGCCAATCCCGGCACGGATCAGCCCAGGGGGCGAGGCTCACCATCCACAGGCTTTGCAGTGCAGGGACTGGTAGCGCAGGGAGCCCCCGGTGATTTGGGTGGGGGTTTCTGCGTCAGGTGGGTTTGCTTAGCCCAGGCAAGGTAGGCAACCTTGGCTCTTTTATTCTGGGAGTTGAAGTCCATGAGTCATAAAAGAGCCAAGGTTGCCTACCACTGTGGACACCTCCTGGCTCCTTCCTTCCTTTCCTTATTCTTCCTGCCTTTCTTCTTCCTTTTCTTCCTTCTTTCCTTCCTTCCCTCCCTCCTTCTCTCTCTCTCTCTCTCTCACACACACACACACTGATTGGGGAAGAGGACTGGCAGACCAAGGGCAGAAAGAGGGAGAGGGAGGCAGAGGGAGGGAGGGAGGAACAGAGAGAGAGAGAGACCCTTTTGACATCTAAAATGAAGATAACATTGCATATATCCTTATATATATATATATATATAATATATATATATATATATATATATAATATATATATATATATATATATATATATATATATATATATATATAATAAAGGTAAAAAAGGATATATGCAGTGTTATCTTCATTTTAGATATCCAAAGGGTTTTGTGGCTCCCAGTGTTTTGTTTTTGGTGGGAAACGGGTCCAAGTGGTTCTTTGAGTGTTTTGGGTTGCCTACCCCTGGCCTAGAGTAATTATGCTGTTTTATCTTAACCAGGAAATAACTGTCTTTTTTATCTTTAGCCTCCTAGTGTTAAGAGAGCTGTTTTGACAATTAATATATTGTCGGGACTATGTTTCTTTTATTTCAGTTGCACAAAAATACCATGTGGTAGTTTTGAATTTAGCATTTTGTTAAGCTTCTACCACAGAGGATCTGCTTTATGTATTACCAGATTTTGGCATTAAGTAGTAGCATGTGTGAAATTATTAAACACAAGATAATTAAGTAAAATTGCAGAAGAAAATAGAAGAAAAGGTGCGTATAGGGAAGAGTTGGCCTTGCGCTCTTTCATTCCACAAAATTGTCCCTACGACTTGATTTTTACCCTTGCAATTTAAATATCCTATTCAGAAGAGAAGTACTGGAGCTATCTCAAAGCTTGCTTGTGTGTTTGTTTTGTGGAGGGACAATTGAGAATAAAACTTGTGTTAAAATTTCTCAGAATAAGAAGTTCTGTGATACTTTTATTTCTTAAGGTTTGCTACAACTTGACTTTCTATTCTAAATCTTAGTAGGAAAGGTTGGGGTAAATGAAATTCGGTGGAAATCATTTCATTCTCTTTGCATCTTTTTTCTTTCTCATCTATTCAAAAAGGAACCTACATATTCTTACCACATTTTTTTAAAAGGCTAAGAGTTGGATTCTTGGTTTTTTTAGTATAATAAGAATTTCTCCTTATTAGCTATGTTCACTGCTGCAAGGGTTAATCCATCCCATCCTTTATTCTTTTAAAGGGCAAGTGCAAACTTATCTTAAACTGAGGCATTTGAAGTTAAAGAAAAAAATACTTTATAGCTTATACAGGATAAGCAGTTTCCTGTCCCGGACTTTCCTTCCTCATCCTGTCTGTAATGTTCTCTCTGAGAGGTTAGATTGTCTTTTTCTTCTTAGCCTATGACTAAAGTAATGCTGCTTCATATAGTCCAAAACAGAACTGAATTGTCTGAACTCACATGCTTTGGGATTTCACCTCTTGAGTACATTAAAGTACTGTTGACTTTGATTGAACTCTGCAACTTTATTCAGAAATAGCAATAACAATGAATAAACCAAAGCTAAACTTAGAAAAATTCAGTAATAGTAATGAACTATAGACATGCACACTGAAGCAGTAGGTATGAACTTAAATGGACTCCAGAAGATGGTAGAGGACAGGAAGACCTGGAGGAACGTTGTCCATGGGGTCGCGATGGGTCGGACACGACTTCGCAATTAACAACAACATAGACATGCATGATTTAGATGGATTTGATTGACTGATTATGTTGATTCTTGGGGACCACATAGAGAGATCTTTTCCAGGATAACCTGTCCCCTAACTCACCCTTCAGGTCTCCCAATTGTGCATCCATCATTTTTTTAATTGAATCCACCCATCTTGCTGATTGTTTTTTACTTTTGGCCTGTGTGTCATTCCCCAAATTAGTTGATATTTGTGGGTTTGAACCTTTACTGATTCTTCTTCTATTGCTTGTAATATTTCTGTAGATGTTCAATTAATTTCTGTAGCCTTCTGACTTGGTAATGATGGGTTGCTGACCTAACTTAATCTTGTAATACTGGAAGGTACTCTAAGGTACCTTGGATATTGGCATTCTATTGCTACAGAATGAGCAGCAGAAGTGTCTAGACTGAATAGGCAAAGAGTCTAATTATGAATAAGCAATATCCTTTTAATTGGGGCAAAAATAATAATCGAGGAGATATTCTTAACCTTATATAGTAGAGCAGAAGCAAAGGAAACAAGCAGGATAAGAATCATACTTTCACATCCAATATTTAGTATATATGTAATTAGACTGTAGATGTTTCCTTTGAAAATCTACACTCAGATTGAAACCACTGATTGCATTGATAGGAAATCTTTAAAGCACTTTATAAACTCATTAGGCATTGTGACTTTTGCATGCTAATATTTAAAATGTTTATTGATTGGAGTGTTTTACTGGGTATATTATGAGCCACCTACTATTGTCCATATGAGTGGCATATAAATAAATAGGGTTATAATATTACTCCTACTTTTAATGCCAAAAACCTTTCTTTTTCTCTTATGCATTCATAAGATGTTGTTTTTGCATTCAATTTTTTTTCAGCATTTTGCTTACAAAGGCAGGACATAAATATATTGTTGTAGCATTAATAAATTTGATAGTTGCAAGCTGCTTAAGAGGGGAAATGGAAACGAAGAGAAAAATATCAGCTAGTTCTTTAAGAAATGAAATCTTCCTTCATTAAAAATAATGTTGCAAAGATACCACCGTATTGATGATGGTGTCAAAAAATATGCAAACACTGATGTTTCTGGTATTTTTGCCTTATTTATACTATTGGGAAATCACAGGACTAAAATGAGCTTCCACTTAATACATATCAGAAATTCAACAAAACAAAGTCCTGCAAACATTTAGATCACTGGTTCTCAACCTTTTTAATGCTGCGACCCCCAACTGGTCATAAGTCGAGGACTACTCAACCGGTCGTAAGTCGAGGACTACTCAACTGGTGCAGTACCGTTTGCAGAATGGGACTTTTGGCGGGCTCAGCAGGGCAGAGACAGCCTGGACAATTCCTATTGGCTTTTGAAAGCCAATAGAATTAGATTCTATTCAAGAGAGTCTATTCTATTGGCTTTCAAAAGCCAATAGAATAAAAGGGAGTAGCACAGCTAAGGAAAAGGGGGGGGGGAAATTGCAGACTGCGTTGTTTGGCGACCCCCGTGAAATGGTCGTTCGAACCCAAATGGGGTCCCGTCCCACAGGTTGAGAACCACTGATTTAGATAGACCACCTCTGTGCTTGTTTGATGGAAAGAGGCAGGCACTGTGTTAAAGAAAGCAGTTGTAACCCAGAAATATGCTAAACAAGATAGCTGTTTTTCCCACTATTAAGAAAGCTGTGGCATTCCAGCTTTTGTATGTTTCACATGCACAGATTAATATAAAATGTTTTTTTTTAAATCTTTAGGATTAAGATTTTCATGAATTATCATTGACCAGGTTTGTAAAATGTGTCCTGGTGAGCTGCTGATCAGAACAGTGGGTCAATGTTCCAAAGTCAAAAGTGAGGCACGTGGATGGGGACTTCTTCATGCCTCTTCTTCTTCAGCTCCAATATCAAAATCTACATAGCAAAGTGGAGCTGGACAAGTCAAGATATTGGTGAAATATTCTAAGAAACCACCCCTTTAAAGGACGGGGATTAAAAGTATAGTTACTATACCATTGTTCTTTCAAAGACTTGGAGCAAGAGTATATTTTCCGATATTCATTAAGGACCACAAAGCTTGAAAAGAATTGTAGAATTTACAGATGCTATAACATTATCCCCCCCCCCCCCAAATGATTGTATGTATGAGTGATGGGCACGAGAGATTTGCTCTTTCAGAATTGAAATTCCTCTGGAATGGATTCTGATGATTTTTCAAGCGAAAACTTGAATCAACACCAGCTATTACCATACAACATCAGTTTTGTAATATCTGCTGAAATTTGAACTTAGAAAGTTTGATCGATTGTTGAAACCCAGGTTTAAAGCGTTTGGATATAACATGCTTTACAATTATACACACCAATCATGATTGCTGAGCACCTTATTTTGCAGGGTATTTGAATCGCTTTCTGGAAGCTTGTAGTAATGAACTCTTTTTCCGGACGTGTTCAGTGCTGCTTCGCAGTTTTAATCTTGATATTCAGCTCCTGGAGAAACTCAGCATTCTGCTTCAAAAACTTTCAAAAATCAAGTGAGCTTTCCAACCTCAAAATATTTTTCTCAGGATTGATATTATGTGTTTGTTGGAATCAGGGCAACCCAGGATTTCCATAGCTTGGGAGATTCATGAGAAAACTAATAAAAAAGATATGGATGCAATAGCTGAACTAGACAAGAGTCAACCAAATAAAATAGGGCAGACCCAATCACAAACACTAAGGAAAGACATAGATTGGTGGTAGTGAGAGATGGATGGTGGGTAAAGATCAGTAATGTAATCTAAGCATAACTTAGTAATAAAATATATAAAAACTAGCTTTTGAAGACTTTTCTAACTCGTTTGTGCCTATTCTTTTTGCACTCCCTTTTCTGCAGTAATGAGTACCAGTGCCATATATTGCAGATATCATTGTATTGTGACTGAGAGTCATTTTATTTAAAAGAGATATCCTGTGTGCAGCCTATGATATCCTGTGTGCAGCCTTTATTTTAGAGATTGTAAAAACAAAAATCCAGAATTGCTGGGCATTTATATACATTTAATAAATTATTATTAAAAATAACCATATAAAGTATGTATGAATACAGCAAATACTGTTTATTTCAGTTTGGAAAGTTGAAATTTCAGAATCAAATGTTAACTGAACTTCTGAAGTGACTTCTTTAATTGCATATTTTTCAAAATATATTGCAGGAGTAATAAGAAGATGTTTGAGCTGTTTACTCTCCATCTGATGATTCAAGAACTATTGAGGACAGCACATCCAGATCACACGTTTTTGTGCATTAACCTTAACTCAATTCTCTTTAATTTGGGTTTAATAAAAAACAACCCCATTGAAAGTAGCCAAAATGCAAGTGACTAGTAGGCTGCATTTTATAAAACGTTTCCAGTGGCTTGTTTATGTTATATGAATTAACAAAATGTGGAATGGAAATTGCCTCCGTAGGTGTCTCAGTTGTACCAGTCTTCAGAATACATCAGTTAGAATTGCTTTAATGGAAATTGTCTGTTTTATAATGCTGGATTGCTTACCTGTACTTGTTTTACACTGGTCTTCAGCCCAAAAGACAGCACCCCACAATACACTGTTCTTGCAATGAGATCAATGACACCAAAGCTGAATAGTATCATATTGGATATCATATAGTATCATTTTGCATAAGTAATCTTGCGTCCACTAGGACAGGGCAGGTAGTCTTTTTGTAGGCAGAAAACAGACTTTGATTTTTTTTCCCCTTCTACAATGTTTGCATCATGTGTAGTAATACAATGATGGGGCCATATTTCAGCCCATTTTCTTGGTTCATTTGGGGAGCAGCTAAGGGATAAAATATGTTCATTGCAGAGTTTCCCAGAAGTTTAATGCATACGATTTTGTTTAGAAACCATGAAAAAAATCATGGCGCAAAATTTTGAAAGTCAACAGGAGCCAGAAGAATGGAATTGGATATCTGATGATTGCAGGTTGATCACTAGGACAGGTCAGAAAGATTAGTAATATTTTTTTATCTGGGCAACTGGATATTCTTTAGAGATGCTCATTTTTAGTGATAATTGACAGAATCAGATTTCCTAGCACTTACATTCCAGCAATTCATTGAGAAGATATTGTATAACTACTGAGGTCAATGGTATGTCCTTTCATTAAATATATGTTCAGCTGCTTTGTGGAGGCTATTAGTAGCTGAAAAGTTTGGTATTGGCTTATCAAAAGAAAGCATTGATTCTTAGCTGAGTTTCCAAGAACTTTTTTGCCAGTGTTAGAAATGCCCCAATCCTGAATGTGGAGTACCTGAAAACTGTTGTTATGTGAGATATCCAAAGAAAAGCCTTCTTTGTTCAGGTGATTTCAAGTTATGCAATAATAGAAATGTACAGATTTTGAAAATTATTTGAAACAAATCCTTCAAAGCACAAATATTTAAGGTAACTACAGTATATCTTTAAAGAACTTGAGAACATGCAATTGCTTTAAGAAGGCACATTAAAGACACAGCTGCTTTAAAGAGATTCTGTGCCTTGCTATAATGCATTCCAGAGAATCTGAATCATTATTGAACAGAACACTTAAAACTTTTTCTGATTTCTTTATGTTACAAAAGGGCCAGTTATTGAACTCAATCTTGACAGACATTAATTTGTTTTGTCTGATATTTTCCGTACAGTATGCTGGGTCTTACAAGGTTCACAAAAAGATTTATTTTATCCTTTATGTATGTTTATTTTTTTTATTGTCATGTTATAGTGAGCACTCCGAAATGTCCTTATGCATCATTTTAATGTAATAAAGTAACAATTTAAAATAATCATTTATATTGGTAGTGTTATTCTTTGAAAAAAGATGTTCTTTGAGCTACTTGACTTTTTTGGATTGCAGCCTGTTGTTAATTTTATATATTGGATTGAACTTAAATTGTTCCTTCCAGAAATAGGAAGGGCTTCCTCTATTCATGGAACTTTCTGAGGATCCTGAAGCTGCTTGCTGGGAAAAAATGGACAGGAGATGGATCTTGATTGAAGCCTTATTCTGTTCATATCCTTTTATCACATTTGGTTCCATAGAAATACCCCAACCCGCACAGCAGCTTTTTCAGGAGGCTACAAAGAAATGGTGGAGTCAGCAAAATGGCAGAAGATGTTGACCAAAATGGCTCTCTGGGCACATGTAGGCAATCAAAAGCAGATAACCAAGAGAACAAGCCTTACAGATGATGCAGCTGCTATAACAATCTGAAAAGGATTGTTGCAAGCTGCCACAGTTTCAATACATTTCTTTGGAATGTTTTGCACAGCCCTAATAGTTTTTCATTGGGGGCTGTTACAGCTTGTAATGAAAGAAAAGAAAATAGCATCTTAGTTTCTAAAAGCAACTGTAAGGAGAGGGGAAAGGTCTCGGAGGAATGAGTGAAAAAAATCTCTTAGCTTGATTAGTCTAAAGTGCTTAGTAAATTCCATTAAAAACAGGTGGTAGATATGTAAACACTTGATTACATGTTTCTCCCACTCATCCTTGTGGATGGGTTAGCTAGTTTCTTCACATAGTGCCAACCCTCACTAGTAAACTCATCTGAGAACATACTTTCATCCTCAGTTTAGAAGCAGGCTTCTGCAAAAGAAAGCAAGACCAGAACGTACAATCTTAAATAAGACAACTTCAGTAGAATTTTCAAACCTGTGATATGAACATAATGTATCTGAAAACAGAAACTTGCATAGGATAACGGCATGGAAAACGAGGGAAGTCATAGTGGCTTTCATTACAAATGTTTGTACATGTGCCTACGGCTATGTTTTTCCACAGCCTTTTGGAACTTATTTAGTATGCCACCCATCTCTGCCAAGCATCTCTGGGGGGCTTATACTAGCATAAATAGCAATAAAACAATTATAGGATTAAAACATTAAAGCATCAGATAGTAAAAGCTAACATTAATATTAAAATAGATAAACCAATGCATAGATGGGGTGGAGATGAGATCTTATATTAATCTATATTATAATTGTAAGTTAATCATGTCACTCAACCTCTGAAGCAAACATGTCCATACCTGAAGAAGTTTTAGTGCATAAACTGAATACACTTCACTCTGGCCGAAACCCATCAATGTTGGGTTTAGTCTTCTCTGTATCTATGATGGGTTCTTTGCTGCATTCCAGTTGATTATCTCCTTCCAAGGACAGCACTCTAATGGAATGAGTAGAGGGTCATAGAATTGTGGTGCAATGAATTGACACATGCAGGATGGAAGACGGTACTTCAGCACTTTCCCTGAATGCTATTTTTCAGTCTGATGGATGGGAAGTGCACTCCCAGGTCCTCTGCCTATCTCTCTTTAATAACATGGAAGAGCTGTGCAGGATTAGTTTGCTTTGTTCCCTAGAGACCAACCAGATGTCTTAAAGATTTTAAATTTTCAGGACTTTACAGCAGGAATATTTGACTTAAGGAGGTGCAGGTAGGTATGGCGTGAATTCATATGTACTCTGAATCACCTTTACCTCTTCAAATTAAATACAATATCTTCACAGTTCTACCTTCTATCTGTGAATTTCCCACCGTGGGTGAGGGGGAGGGATGAATTTGAACTAAGTGGGGGTTTTTACATAGCACCATAATTTCATAAAGTTCTGTCATGTTTTCCCTTCATTAGTTCCATGTTTCCAAACAAAAAAATCCCAAATAATATTAATTTTCTTTAGGAGTTTGCATTTATAAATCTGTGTTTTTTGCTTTTGCTTGTTACTTTGGTTCTGTGAATACTAATTATAAATATTTATAGTACCAAAATAGAAAGAAAGAAGTCAATTTTAAAAAGAAAGATATCCTATTTCCTGTTATCTAGAAGGTATTCAAATATTTTAACTCATTTTTTTCATGGTAAATTGCACTGTGGTTCAAAAGAACTATAATGGCAACAGTGGGAATTCATGATTCAGAAGGACTGATGGTGTGTTTGGAACAAATTTCTATATGGCCACCTGCTTTTGCATCCTGAATAGAAATTTGTTGGAATTCTATATCAATAAGAATGATACATACTGGGCTGCTACAGTTATGTCTTTAACCACTGTTCACCATTAGGAGTCACAATGTTGAGATGGGTGGCCATGTAAATCTCTCTCCCCTATCTATCTATCTATCTATCTATCTATCTATCTATCTATCTATCTATCTATCTATCTATCTATCTATCTATCTATCATGGTAGAATTTCAAAATCTATCAATCAAGGTTTAGTATTTTTTTTATTTCACTTGAAACAAAGCCAGCTCTGGATTAAAATGGATGTTTAGGATCACCAGCCAATATTTTCTGCAAATACTGGCCGTTGTTTTGCTGTTATCAGTATTTGCAAGCACATAGCCCTGTGAAAGACACATTCATTTCTTCAGTCTTCATGTAATAGGAAGACCTACTACACATCATAATGGGTTAAAAAGAGAGGGGGGCTTCATTTACTTTTATTTTAGAATAGTCATACTGGTTGCCCAGATGCCACAGTGTTTGCTTTGTTGACTTTTGTGACAGAGGCAGGCATCTGTTCATCCTATCTTGTCAAAAAAGACTCTTTTTCTTCTTTTAAAATACAGCCTGCTGCTCTTTAAGCTTCCTTCAAAAGGTATGACTGATCTTTCTTCTTTCTTTTGAACTAAAAGAAACTTCAAAGAATCTTGCTAATCAACTGTCCTCTGTCTGCCGGAAGCTTTATTTTAGTAGATAATATTTTTGCAGCTAAGGGGCATAATAAAGGAAACTATGAGTGCTCTTGTAAAATACATGTCGTGATGATCATGGGGGCTTACCTATACATAGAACACGAGCTCTGTGATGTATATTCATTTGTAAACACCCATTAAGACCTGAATGCAAACTGAGATTCTACCCCCAAGTTGACTTTTATCTTGCGTGATCTGTGGACTAGGCACATTTTCCAACAAAGTATATGATGCCTGTAGCCCATATATGTAAATATGCTTCTATAGGCTAGGGCTTTGATTGGTAGAATGTCACGTTTCCATTTATTTCTTCTTAATTAAAAAAAATCTAAAAATGGCCAGGTAATAGGTTGAATCCAGATGTAAGTATCTTTAAAAGAAAACCCAGTGAAATCAAGGAAGTTATAATAAACTCCTCCTGTTTATTTAAATATTTATTAAACAACTGCATATGGCTCCCCAACTCATGCACGGTGACTCTGGACAGTTTACAGTATAAACATTTCACAATGAAAGAATCCATAAACCCACCTCCCTCTGCCCTGTGGCAGCAACTACACCATCACAGCCACTTGATCATGTCATGGCTCTATCAGAGGCCAGTTCGGAGGAGGAGGTGGAAGAGTTGGAGCTGGGACCGTCTGACAGGGAAGGCATGCCAGGGCCTGAGGACTTTGCTGTCCCAGCCCCCTCAGGCATTGGGGGAGGTGGTCCACCTGATGGAGAGCTGCCTGTCTGCACAGACACAGGGGAGGATCAGCTGCTGACCGGCAGTGGTGCTGCCTCCTCCACTCCATCCAAGAGCAAGGAAAGTGGAATGTAGGCAAGCCCAAAGAAGGGCTGCAAGACTACTTGGGAGGAAGTCGCCCGACCCCTCCTCACAAGGAACACCTGGAGGGGAGTAACTTAAGGAGAAGCTGTAGGGAGTTAGTCTTTTCCAGGAACAATTGTTTGCTTTGGCTTACACTCCCCTGGCTTTTACTCATGCCTGTTGCTATTTGCCTTGCCTTGCTTGGAAGATGGCTCTTCACATTTTGTTTTGGACCTTGCCCTTTTCTGGTGGCTATGTTTGGCCTTTGCTTCACTGGCACTTTGGAACTGCTTCTTTTCTGGGACCTGTTTCTTCTCCTGAGGACTGCCCTTGTAATGTTCCTGGACCCTGCCTGGTGGATTGGACTTGGAACCCTGGACCTTGCCCTGTGAGCGTGCACCTAATCTGTGGGCTTCCTTTGTACTATAGGGGCTGCTGTTTGGGAGTCTGAGGGTGGCTGCCTTCATGGTAGTATGAGGATGGAGCCTTACCGGTTGTTGGAAGGCCACTGGCTGAAACATTTGTTAAGAGACATAAAGAACTCTCTAGAGGCCTGCCTTGCCTTGACCACGTGCATCATAACAGATCTATTCAGTATCCACATATATTTAGTCTCTAAGCTGATTAAATATGATATGATCTGGATTTACCTTAAGTGTTTGACAGGACAACTGTTCCACTTTAGACATGATAAATGGGAGATACATTAACATTTTATTCTAATTAAGCTAATTAAGCTAAACTATTTTTAAGTTTTATTTTAAATTAATTTTTAAAAATGTTACCATGCAGAGCCAAGAAAACAAATAAATGGTTCATTGAACAAATCAAACGCAGAGTTCTCACACGAGACACAAAAAAACAGATTCAAATTATCCTTCCTCAGACACATTGTGCAAAGACTCAGGTCCCTGGCAAAGACTCTAATGCTGCAAAAGGAGGAAGAAAGGAGAAAAAGAGAATGACTAGCAACAAGATACATGAAATCACTTACAGCAGAGGTCTCCAACCTTTCCAGCTTTGCAGACTGGCTAGGAGGGTGCTCGTGTGCGCAGGTTAATTTACACAAGCAGCAGGTGTGAGCACCCGCCACTCACACAAATGGAGCTTCGTACACAAGTGCAAGTACCTGCCATGTATGCAAATGGATCTGCACACATGAGCACGAGTGTTTGTGCGAGTCCAAATGGAGCTGCCCAGATGAGCACAAATGTCTGTGTGAGCCCAAATGGAGCTGCCCACGCTGGCCCACCCCTTGCATGGTCCAGTTCCGAACAG